AACTAAAGCAAGCGACGAAAAACGGCAAGAGAGAAAACAAGCCAAACACGACAAAGTAATGTGCGCCTTTTCTTTCGATTGTTGTAAAAACCACGCTGCAAACTGCGTAACCGGGAATAAATTCAAACCTATTCCAGTTTGTTACTCGACCTATCAGCAAATATAAAGCAAGAGAAAGCCATACACCACTCAACCAGATCTTGGATCTGCGAGGTGAAAACATCTTGTTGTAGTGGTGTGTCTTGACAATTCTCATGTATCTGTTAAAGGCCGTCAAACCCATTGTTGCTGGAGTAGCATACGTAGCGAACACGTCAACAAAACCTTGAAGCTCGCACAAAGCGTCGCTGAATTGCCATTTTCCAGTGATTAACACGGCTGAAGCTAACGGCATTTCAACTGTAGCACACAACAGATCGCTGGCTGCTAAAGCGACGATAAAAAGACTGGTAGTTGATCGTAGTTTACGATTTTTGTAAATAGCTAAACAAACCAGGGCATTTCCCAGGATGCTTACGATGTTCAGGGCAACACACACGCTTGTCTCAATGGCAACAACTGCCAAGATTCGATCAGGTAATTCCAGTGAAGACATCAGGCTGGCTTCAAGGGTTGCCTTTAAACATGACTGTCATTAGAAATGGAAGATAATGACAGAGGATAATGAGTTCTATCTTCTGGGAATATTTAAATTATTAATCATCTTGCTAGAGGCATAGAGTGATCAGTAATTCCTTTCAATGCACACAAGCAGCTTTGAATGGAGGAAGAGTTCATGTCATTCCTCTGGTCTGACCGATACACAATAAGGCAATTTTTTAAGGGAGTAATGCTTTACTTGGTCTGCGTATCTTTAATATTGATATATGACAGGTATAAAATTAAAATTATTTAAACAATATGATGACTTACGCATTTTCAAACTTGCAGGTGTCCAGATAATTAAAATCGTAAAATTAATACCTCCTCTTCTGCGGCCCTAAAGGTTGTTCAAGATGATAGCAATCTTTGTAAAGAACACACCATCTAGGCTACAAGTTAATCGAAATTGAAATTTTTTCATAAGAATTTTTGTATATAAGGGGCAGAGTAAAACCTATATCTCACTATTCAACAGTTGCCACACAAGAACTAACAGCTGACAGATTTAATTAATTTAATTGCTTTACCAGGCGTTCAGTTAGTCGCTCCGCCATCTTTTCGTGCTGCGCCAGCTAAGACCTCGCCACACTACTTCTAGTCTCCTCCGCAGCCGTTATTAGGGTTGTCACGCAACGCTTCTCCCCCACTAACGGCCGTTAGTCGGGGAGAAGCGTTGCGTGACGACCCTAATAACGGCTGCGGAGGAGACTACACTACTCCGGAAAAATGTAAAAACCCAGCCTTATTTCTACGGTTAGCCCTACCGTCCACACTAATCCGTCACGAAAACGGATCTTTTCGAAAACGCTGTTCAAACCGGAGGAATTTGAAAACGCCGGCTTTGCGTTTTCGTATGAATATTTTGAAGAAACGGTGAACTTACGATAATCATGACTGAGCTTTTTTCAAACACAAAAATGACCGGTAATTGTTGCGTTTTCAAATTCCTGCCGCGACTGAATGCCTGAAAGAGGCTCGGCTAATTGACGTAAGGTTACCGTAATTTACATTTGGCATATCAACTGTACTGGTGCATATTATATAAAACATTTTAGGGACCTTACGCAAAACACGACGGCAACGGCAACGGCAACGGCAACGAAAACGTCACCAAACAAAAGGTTTGATGAGCAAAACAGTGATTGTGCACGTGCGTTATAATTCTTGGTACATTTCTCTGCCGTCCTCTGCAAAACAGCAACGTGAATTGACCAAATTCTGCGTTGCCTGGACAACGTGAACCACAACGGCTAATTTTTCGTATTTCTATTTGGAACTGAACACATTAGTAGCATATTCAACAGGGGCAAGTTTTAATGCCGACAAACACACCGAATAGATCTAAATCAAAAACAAATTCCAAAGTAAAATAGAAACACATTTTTTTACTAGGCGCTTTCCTAGCCGTTGCCGTCGTATATGCGTAATCCACCGTAGGAAAAAAGATGGCGACTGGTACATTTACCGATAATTCTTAGCACACGAAAACTTTAACAACGTTCATTAAAACGCACAGAAACGTTATGAAATCTTCAAACCTAGGCTACTCAATGTCCTAAGTACTGGGAAAAAAAATAGTAAAAATTGACTTTCTTTGTGCCTCGTAGGTTGTGTTAGGTTTGCAAAGCGTTGTGGTAAAATGTACAGCGGCCATCTTTTTTCCTGTGGTGGATTAAGGTCCCTAAATTTATATTTGTACGGTTAGGCCCACCAACCGTACACGAAACACTAATCACTAATCCGTCACGAAAACGGGGCATTTCGAAAACGCTGTTCAAACCGGAGGAATTTGAAAACGCGGCTTTGCGTTTTCGTATGGACAAGAAACATTTTCAGAAAACGATGAACTTTTTTCAAACACAAAAATGACCGGTAATTGTTGCGTTTTCAAATTCTTGCCGCGACTGAACGCCTGAGAGAGGCTCGGCTAATTGACGCAAGGTTACCGTAATTTACATTTGGCATATCAACTGGTGCATTATAAAAAACAATATTATTGATGCAAGACTTTTTAATACTTGTTCCGTCTTTGCCTCTATTTGAGGATGAGGCTCAGTGCAAACCCTCTTACGTTATAAAAATGAGTTTGAATTGCAGATTATTTTTATGAAATTAATATGGAATCGCCACCGACCATTGTGCTACATAAGGTGACGCACAGCCATATCGCCTGGTGCAGAGTAGCAGTAAGTAGTGGAGACAAACGATGATACATTGATATTACTGTGTCCTAACAAGTGACACTTGTCGAACTCATAATTAATCTTTTCCCATGACAATCGAAATGTCTTTATATATATAGTTTTAATTTGCTGTAGGCATTACCCAGAATCCTGTCGTGTTTACTGATTCTTTGCGCGTGCACTTGTACCCTTTTGAAGAGAACGATGTCAAGGAACTCTGGGATGCATTGAAGGAAGCAAGTTTGAAGATCTTGATGAAAAGTTGCCAAACCAGCGGAGTGGGGAGATTAAAGAATGTTGGGGAAACCTCAGCGTCGATGAAAGACAACTTTGTATCGGGCTCTCGCTTTATTGAAGACAAGCAAAATTATCATCATGAAGGAAGCAGAGACAAATATGGATTATAAAACAGATAATATAATTCAAGAACGAATTCCCACAAACGTAAACTTTGCACAGTGTTGGCAACTGCGCATCAAAATCAAAGATCTTAGATTAAGATCGAGGTTTGGTTATGGAAAACGGTTTAGCGTTCTGTTGTCTGTAATATAATGTAATTCAGTAGAACTGACTAAAATTGTTAATGAAGCTTAAACAGTGATATGTTAAAGGGAAATTTAAAAGCATTTAAGAAGGAATAAGAAAAAAAAACTGACTCATCACTACCTACTTACTTAATTATTTACAAGCTCGATGCAGGATCGCAAAGCGCATTATCAGATTCGAGAAAGTCAGCCTGGTAACGCTAGGACTGAACCGTGATTGGTTGTGGAAGAAGCAGATGCAGTGAGCATCATCTAACAGGGAGTGTGTACTCGATAAGCTAACTTATTTTATTCATCTACGATACGAACCGCCTGTAAGAGTAGGGGCGGATATAGGGGGAGGGTTCAGGGGTGCGCACCCTTCCCCCACCCCCTCCCCCCCGGCGAGGTTGAGATGACCTGAGGCTTTCTAATACAACTGGTATTCTGCAAAAAAAATTTATAAAATCTGTTTACGTCATCAGTCAGTTATGCCATTCTTTAGTGGTGCACCACTCTTACGAAAAATCCTAGATCCGCCCCAAAAGAGTGTAAATTGGACAACAGAAATAAGTTCCAGGCTTTAAATGGGCCCAAGCGAGTCACCGTGTCGTTACGCTGTATAAAATTAGTTTTGCTTATTTTCTTGAAAGGAAGCCATATTAACTAAACACAACGTGTCGAACGTGTTGTTCACTTTTAACTAGGAAATTTGAGCTCATGCAGTAGTGCCATCATTTAAAGATTTTTGAAACATATAGAGGCAATATGGGTGTATGGAAATACTGCCTGTAGGAGACAATATCAGCGGCAAAGTCATTTTTTACCATGTTCACATATTAACGTGACATTGAGATGGAACTTGGAACATCTAAACCACAATTAATAATTGTTAACTGGAGTATAAATAAACATAACATAGCATTGATAAACTTGATAGAAATCTGAAGGAAAGTGAATGCTTTAGAGTCAGGAGTATCATTAGTTCATTTACTGTGATTATCTAAGTGTTGGGTAGTTCTGATAAGAACTGCTGTTGCTCATGCAGAGCCAAGTAAAAGTGTTTGTCAGTCGATGGCCGTTTATGAGTCTGGTTCGTTGAAACTGATTTGTTTAGCAATGATTATATTAAGACATGATTGATCATCGCAGTTATATACACAACTTAAGCAGTTGTGAAATTAAAGCCTGAAAAAAATTTAGGCCTCAACGGGATTCGAACCCGTGACCTCTGCGATACCGGTGCAGTTTCTCCACAGTTCAAATATGTGATCTTTCATATAATCACTTGTAGTTATTATATTCAGTAATAGTAATATTATCTGGAATCCAAAATATAATCACTTGTAGTGATTATATTGGCTTTTAAAGCTGGTGATTAGACTGCTTAGACAGTCTTGAAACAGATTCACCTGCCAGTCGAAGGGCGCCTACAACATGAATATTTTCATTGTCTTCATTGACAGAGTACCTGCATGGAATCCAAAATTTCCTGTTAATTCGATACTTTTAGTCCAAGTTTCTCTCCACCTGTTTAGTTGAATAAACTTATAGACAAAGCCCTTTATTTGGATAAACTTATAGACAAGGCCGTTTAGTTGAATAAACCTATACAGACGAAGCCGTTGTCTAATTCAGCTGATACCCAGGACTAAGCATTTATTTCGCCTTGTTGTTTTCCCTCTCCATTGCCAACTGCTTTTTTTCTAGCCACAGAATCAGTGACTTCAGGTACAATTCTTGTCACTTTCCACCGACACAGTAATTTGTTCAATTCCCCTCGGAAAGCATGACTTGTGGTAATGTAAATAAACGGGTTGATTGAAGCGCTCAAAAACAACATAAGGGTAACTAACAACTCTACAACTCTGGGAGCTGTCTCTGGAGACAAACGCTTCCAAAACGCAAACGCCCAAAGTGGTATCCAGCAAAACACAAAGCCAGCAGCCACATACGACAGTGTCCGACTGATGTTGATCTCCCTCACGGAAATCATTCTCCCCGTGCGTCTAATAACGGTGTTGAACGATGGCTTATGATGACGGAGTTGGGCAAAAACTTTGTAGTAACTAAAGCAAGCGACGAAAAACGGCAAGAGAGAAAACAAGCCAAACACGACAAAGTAATGTGCGCCTTTTCTTTCGATTGTTGTAAAAACCACGCTGCAAACTGCGTAACCGGGAATAAATTCAAACCTATTCCAGTTTGTTACTCGACCTATCAGCAAATATAAAGCAAGAGAAAGCCATACACCACTCAACCAGATCTTGGATCTGCGAGGTGAAAACATCTTGTTGTAGTGGTGTGTCTTGACAATTCTCATGTATCTGTTAAAGGCCGTCAAACCCATTGTTGCTGGAGTAGCATACGTAGCGAACACGTCAACAAAACCTTGAAGCTCGCACAAAGCGTCGCTGAATTGCCATTTTCCAGTGATTAACACGGCTGAAGCTAACGGCATTTCAACTGTAGCACACAACAGATCGCTGGCTGCTAAAGCGACGATAAAAAGACTGGTAGTTGATCGTAGTTTACGATTTTTGTAAATAGCTAAACAAACCAGGGCATTTCCCAGGATGCTTACGATGTTCAGGGCAACACACACGCTTGTCTCAATGGCAACAACTGCCAAGATTCGATCAGGTAATTCCAGTGAAGACATCAGGCTGGCTTCAAGGGTTGCCTTTAAACATGACTGTCATTAGAAATGGAAGATAATGACCAGGGATAATGACTTCTATCTTCAGGGAATATTTAAATTATTAATCATCTTGCTTGAGGCATAGAGTGATCAGTAATTCCTTTCAATGCACGCAAGCAGCTTTAAATGGAGAAATGGTTCATGTCATTCCTCTGGTCTGACCGATAGACAATAAGGCAATATATTTTTTAAGTAAGTAATGCTTTACTTGGTCTTCGTATATGTAATATAATATTCACATATAACGGAGAAATAATTAAAATTATTTAAACAATATGCTGACTTGCACACTTTCAAACTTGCAGGTGTCCAGAAAATTAAAGTCGTAACATTAATGCGTGCTTTACTGCGGCCCTTAAGGTTGTTGTTCAACATGATAACAATCTTGGTAAACAACACACCCTCTAGGCTACAAGTGAATCGAAACTGAAATTTTTTCATAATAATTTTTTTGTATGTAAGAAGCAGAATAAAGCCTATGTATATATTTCACTGTATACGTTTATTCTCGCTACATGGGAATGCGTAAAGTTTCATTGGAGAGCGTTTATTACCATGGCGATCTGTTTCGTTTACGCATGAAAGAAAGGTGTAAGTAAGCATAGAAAGCAATATGCATTTGCTTCCTCTAAGTTACCTTTGTATGAATTTAATATTACATCGTTAAAATAGACTATATTCGTATTCTCAGTATTAGACTGGAACTAGCTTGCAACTGAGTTTAATGAGGGAGTCTTTTCAAATGCAAATGATATTTATCTCTTTTTAATGATATTTCCCCTCAGGAGTATTCATTACAAGTCGAATACGAATATGGCCTGTTATTAAAAACTGGATCATTATTTAGCTCTTGCTAACCGAGCAGGAGGTCTATATGGGAGAATCTTGATCGAGGTCGTGAGTACAGACCGAACACAGTGAGGTCTGTACACACGATCGAGGTCAAGATTCTCCCATACAGACTGACTAAGCTCGGTTAATAAGATGGTTATTATATGGCAAACAAGAAAAATTTAATTTATTTAATGTAACTGGTTTGTACTAACTGACATTTTGCGTGCAAACTGCGATGAGCCGAACTTAATTCTGCCAAAGTTTGCTCGTCCTCTTTACTTTTTTTTCTCATCGGGCTTTTTGGCACTTGCATAAATAAATATTGTTAGGAGAAAATAGTCAGTATATTTGCATTTTAGTTTGCAACTTTTTCGCCCGAAAACATCACCGGTCTAGATGGGAAAATCAAGACTGCTATCAATATCGATTTCAGCCGATCAAATTCGTAAATTCGGTAGTTACCAGTCTTTGTGAGACACAGTCATGTAATAATGAATAATTCAGTAGGAATGAGCAAAAAAAACTCATGCGATGCGCGACACTGCCGAAAAGTTGAATATAAGGCTAAAATGCTCTGAAAAGGGTCAAATTTGTTAATAATGAATAATGCTATTCAAGAGTTGGCTTAGCCACCAGAGGCTATGAGTCATTATACCATGCTCTTCAAATATAAAAAGCGTACGTGTTTGGGGCATTTTTATTTTTATTTTAGTTTAGTTTTCTATATTTTGGGGGCGTTTTTAACAAAACAATTATTCCACAAGCGCTTGATGGATTTGAGATGATTATAGCCAACTGGTTGGCCCTATCTACCATCTCATATCCAACGCGTGCTCTTGGAATAGCAACAACAACAACAACAACAACAACAAACGTACAACAACAACATTACTCATACATTTCCAATTTTTCAAAAAGATATACACTTTACACTTTGCACTTTATTATTGCCATTGGCAACACATTGTTGCCCACGCTCCAGAAAAGTAAAGAAAAGTAAAGAAAAGTAAGATCGCTTTACAGTCCCACTGGTCAAGAGATGATCATGTTGCTCTCTTGCACTGGTATATTTTCATCGTAACGAACGTAACAATCTCCGCCATTAGTTTCCTCATGATCGTTGCGATCGCTATTACACTCTTATTGTTTTTCCTGTCAAGGCTGAATATTCTTATTTTTCTGATATGACACACATATCTTCTTTCAAAAATTTTATTAGCATCAAACATACGGCTAGGGCCGATTTTTTGTTTTTGTTTGTCTGTTTTTGTTAGTTTCGCCGTCTAGAGAAAGGAAGACTTTTATACAGTTTAGTTAAAAGCATATGATTGTATTGTACTTGCAAATTTTCTGCAAACAAAATTATGATCTTTTCAGAATCTCAGCGCCGGGTTTATTCTTAACTATATTTTTAAAATTTAACAAATTTCAGCTCGATATTCTTACAAAAACAATTCTTGTAGAAAAAAAAAAAATGCGAGTGTACTTCCGCAACGATCGGAGGTTTGTCTCAGCAATTGCTGTCGAAACGATCCGGTACAGCTATTATAATATAGAAATCGGCCTTAACTGCCACACATTTTCATATGAAAGGTTTCCCAGCAGCGTCATTTTGGAAGATAATTTGAATTTAGTTTGTTATACACTGGTACTCACTTCAAACAAGATGACATTTGAAAGGTTGTGTATGTCAAAACGAGTCATAAGTAAAAAACAATTAGTCAGGTGGCAATTACTGTGCGCGTACATTAAAATTTCAGCTGTAATCAACTTCTCCCAAAATTCAAGAGTTTTAACTAGGTTGGTTTAGGCTTCTTTACTGGTTCATAACAGGATTCGTGCACCTGGATTGTATGATAACAAAATTCAGGCTTGGGAGTGTGTAAAAGACATTCGATATTTGCGAAGGGTTTTCGGTTTGTTTTTACAAACTTGATTTTAGGGACGAGATCCGGTTTGATGATAGAGCGAGTGGCAAAATAAGTCAATTATTCAAAAAATGCATTAAAATCCAACCACGTCAGGAACCAATGGAAATGTTTTGTCCTAAAGCTAACAGCTGCCACTTTTTCGTGACAAAATGCCATTTTCGCCCACCTTGTTTCGAATTTTGTGAAGAAAAACCAACGCAGAGAATGTAGTTTGGTTGATGATGTTAGAGGATGAAAGCAAACCCAACATGATGTCAGACAATATAATATTCTCTGTTTAATCACCTTAGCTATTTGTTTTGACAGGTGTTTAAAGAAGAAAAATAAAGTTTTTTGTCGTACGCATAAGTTAAACGTAAAATAGGCCTCTGGGTTTTTTATGTGTCTCTCATGATCAGTCTAGAGTCATTACGGCGCCCGGTTTGTTTCGATTTGTTGATGATTTTCCTTGATTGGAGTAAGCTATATCAAAAGGTTTTAAACAAGGAAACTGGGAATATTTGAACAGTTTTCATCTTTAGAGTTACTATAAACTTATCCAGGCAATGTACCATCGGGCTCTTTAATAATTAACGTGAGTTACTTGATCAGGGAAGCCTTAGGCACGAAAGACGCAACGAAGACCCGGCATTGTCAGGAGTTAAATACAGGGCGCTGGAAGATGTCGTCTTCGCTACACTTGCCAAACCGAAGCGTGGAAGTTGTTATCATTGAAACAACTGTGTGTGTTGCGATGAACATCATAAGCATCATAGGGAACACTCTAGTTTGCCTATCAGTCTACAAAAACTCGAAACTGAGGTCAACCACTAATTTATATATCATCGCTTTGGCTGCCAGCGATCTGTTGTGTGCAACAGTGGAAATGCCGTTAGCTTCAGCCGTGTTAATCACTGGAAAATGGGATTTCAGCGACGCGTTATGCGAGCTTCAAGGTTTTGTTGACGTTTTTGTTACAAATGTTAGTCCAGCAATAATGGGTTTGACGGCGTTTAACAGATACATGAGAATTGTCAAGACACATCACTACAACAAGATTTTTTCACCTCGCAGATCCAAGATCTGGTTGAGTATCGTGTGGATTTCTCTAGCGTTGTACGTCATTGTAACTCGAGTTACAAATTGGAACAAGTTTGAATTCGACCCTGGTTACGCTGTGTGCAGTGTAGTTTTCACGACGATGGAAAAACGAATCGCTCATTACTGCGTGGTATGGGCGTTGTTTTTAGTACTGCCGATTTCCATCGCTTTTTTCAGCTATTACCAAATTACTAAGAAAGTCAACCAGCACAAGGTTGATGTAGCTCCGTCTTTAGAACTCAACGCGAATAACCGAGCGGGGAGAGGAGTGTCCGTTCAAGAGATAAACCTCAGTCGAGTCTTGTCGTACGTTGTGGCTGGATTGCTGTTCTGTTGGGTTCCAATGTGGGTGTTCATCCTCTGGAAGCGCTTCTCTCCAGATTCAGCTCCCCGAGGAATACAGTTATCAGCAATTTTTCTGTTGTTTCTTAGCAGTACAATAAACCCTTTTATCTACGCTGCCACAAATCGAAAGTTTCGAGAAGAATTTTACAAACTGATGTGTTGGTGGAAGGTGAGACGACTTGCACCTGGAGTGGATCCTGTTGCCGAGAACAGAAATGTTGACAACGAAGGCGTTGAACAAAGAGACGAATCCAACGTTTAGGACGTGCTCAGATTCCAGTTAAGAACTATCTTTCGATCGGTCGGTCTGCACGGACTGTTTTGACTACTCAGATTTTCGCACAGTGTCTTCCTTCGTCATTTCTGTCTGAAATATGTCTGAGGGTTTCCATCTGTTAGGAAACATAAGCCGAATTCTTGCAACAAAAATTCCAACGGATGTGCAAACATGTCAGGGATAAATGAAACCGAGGAGGACAACACATGTATTTCCAATTTATACAATAGAGGATGTTACATGGCGACGGAAAAATATCAATTTTGTTTTTGAGTAGTAAAAACAATATTAACGATGGTAGCGAATGAGCAAATTATTGATCTTCAAGCCACCGTGTAATTTTCTTTTTATTATATGGTGCTCAAACAACCATGAAGAGGAACTAGAAATATGGTGTCACCAATATCAACAACACACATCTTTTATTTTCTTAACACAAGTATAAATATTATAACATTTTTATTTTATTTGATGTATGTAGCATGATTTAGATGAGGTAACTGTTGTAATCTTGTTTTAATGAGACTGGAGGCTAAACATCCTCAACTTACTAGTGAAGATTTGGAAATACGTTACTCCGATCCTAGATGTAGTTTCGTATAAATCTAACAAGTGGTCAGTATTTTCCAGTAAAACAGTCATGTATATTCTCCAAGTTTCAAACCTGCGCGTGTTGCCAAAAATACTTGAAGAATAATGAATAGCCTTCAAACTCATAGTTTTTCCCGAGCTTTGCTCTCGGAAAGCCGTTCGCTTCTTGGAACAGATCATATATCCGCGGCCAAATATCTGAGCATAGCTTTGCGCCAAATGGAAGCCACTTGTATATATATAACTTACTATACAAACTTAACAGTCAATACATAGAGGATATTACACGGTGGCGAGAAGATATGAATTTTATGTTCGAGTGGCAAGAACAATATCTCAC